AGCTCCAATCCATTGTTGCCATGAAGAAATGTGAACCCAGCATAACTAGATTTTTAAAAACTGGATATCTGGGTCTTTATGGGAGATTTTCCAAATTTTAAAGCCTTATATGGGCCCCCAAACTAGTGTTTGGCTGGATTCAGCCTATAACCTGGCCACTGACAACCTCCAATGTTAACGTCCTCGGGTCAGAGTTTCTATCAAAAGCTGAACCCATCATTTTCTTGTCTACTCTCACCTCCCCCACCCCCGCCACCATGCCCAGCATCTACTCTTTTTTTTTAAGTTCATTTCTTTTCTCTCTCTTCTGTTCTCTCTGTGCCCTGTGCCTCTACTCCTTCGCTTTGCCTCTGATGTTCACAGAGTTGTGTTCCCCTGCAAGGCAGAGGCAGTGCAGAGCAGAAGCCAGGTGGGGCCGGGAAGAAAGGAGACTCATTCACCAGGCTCAGGCTGAAGGTTGTGGAGAGAAGGGGGACAGACAGAGTAAATGAGAGAACTCAGCTTGGCCACAGCCCCTGGGCACTTGCCAAGATCCAGCTTAGAAAAATGTGGAGAATAAATGCCAAGGCAAGAAGACAGGGGCTGCCAGCACCTCCCCCCATGCTCTTCTCGTACTTTCCCTCCAGCTTTTCCCTCCCTGGTTCTCTAGTCCCATCGCGACAGTGTTGAAGGTTCCAGAGGGCTTTCCACAAGCTCTGAGAATGATAAGGAAATGACTGAGGAAAAAAATCTCTAGTGCCTTCCAAAGCAAAATTCTGGGCTTAAGTGTGGACACCAGCCTGCGTTCTGTCTTGGTAGGAGACTCTACCAGCCAGGTCAGGGTTGGATATGGCGGCCATGAGGAGTTGACATCAGCCGCAACTGTTTCCATATCCCAAAGCTTCATTTAGTAGCCTATCTTCCAAGAAGGGAGAAATAGGACGCAATATGTAGAGGTCACAATTCCTATGGAAAGACTCTCTGATGCTTTACATGTAGCATTCCATTAATTCTAACAACTCTCCATGGTAGGTACTTTTAGCTCCATTTTATAAATGGGAAAACCAAAGCATAGAATGTTAAATAATTTACTCAAGGTCACAAATACACCCTTTTCAAGATTATTGTGAAAATTAAATGGGATTCTGCATGTGCTATATTAATAAGATACCAGGTACCGAAGAAGTGTTCATTTTAATTTTAAACCAATTTGCACAAAGCTATTAGCGGCAGATAATATAGTAATATATTACCCTTCCCAGGAGACTCATTACTCAATAATATTGATTGCACATCCACTATTGCACCCTAGATGTAAAGATATATATGGACAGTTCTGGCATCTCCATGACTTAGTCAGAAGTAGGGCCATAATAGACAAATGAAAAGGGCCCTCTCCTACCAGGCGGCCCTAGACTAGGCGTACTACTTGACCTTGTTCTTAAGCTGGGTTGTTCTTGCCAGAGAATGCACAGTTTAGTGGGGAGAGCCTGACCTGAGGGCCCCCCTGCTTTGCAGGACTGCTGAGGCCCTCTGCCCAATCCACTGTCTGCCTAGTGAGTGAATAATAAACCCCCAAGCCCTTGCTCCGCTCAGGACCACCTTGGCTGCCTTTGCCTACTCTGCATCAAGGCCCCTTCTCAGCCTCTTTCCTCCTCGCATGCCTATTCCTGGGTTCCAAAGCCAAGACTATGATCGGTCACCTTAACAAGATTATAAATGGCACATTCCAGGAGAGGCCTTGGATGAATCTGCTTTCCTTCCCATCTCATGGAACAAACCCTTTTCTCCTGCTTTAGGGCATTTAAAAGACATCCAGAAAGACCAGTTTTATGGTGGCCCAATAGTGCGTATGGAAAGCAGTGGGATACAGGCCAGTTGGTGCTTGTCAGCTTGGAAAGTATCTTCCCATTTTCTTTGTTAGTAAACGGGGAAGACTGGTCAGGATGCTCTCTGGGTTTCCTTACTGTTCTCACTGTCATAGTCAAAGCATCTTCTTAGACACTCAGACAGATTGGAAGTTTTGTAGGGTCACTCTAGGCCAACCCAAGCCTTCTCATAACGGAGTGGACACCCACCTCTATTGTGCAACTCAGGGGTGCACCTTCCCCCATGAAGCCACTCCCTTCTCTCATGCCAGAAACGTTCTCAGATTATCATTATTTTGGAAAACTGAATCTCTGTGAAAATGAGATATTATTACAGAATCTTAGCTTTAAGTATCCTCAGCTCAGAAGGAAAATGCATCTTGGGACTGCATAAGAAAACTTTCACTATGGTTTGAAGCCGGCAGGTCCCTAGGGAAATAAATTTAAGATAGGACTTTTGGGAACCAGCAGGGAGAAAACATTAAATGAAGTCTCCTGGGAGGAGAAACAACATTTGTCTCTTCAATGCTGTATCCCTGGTGTATCCACAGCTCTCTTCTATCTTTAATCCCATCTCTATTTGACATATAAGTGAATGAACAAACCTCAGCTTTAGATGAGGGAAGATGCAGAGAAGTCTTCGGAAGAATCTTATGCTTTCTAGCAGAAAGTAAGTAAAACCAACCGAGCAGGAGCTGAGAAAGCACAGGCGATCCAAAGTTGCTAGAGATAGAGGTCCCAGCTGCATGCCTGGAGAAGGGAGCCTGGAAGAGGCTGGGCAGGCAGGGCAGAGGGGCCCATCACTTGCCGTCACCTTCTGTTCTTTGCATGTTGTTCACATTGGTAAGGCTTCTGCTAAGAGACGCCATCTACTTAATGACTGTGAGTACAGGCTTTGGAATCAGAGCAACTTGACCTTGAGTCCTGATGCTGTCACTTAGCAGCTGTGTGGCACCAAAAACATTACTTTACTTCTCTGTGCCTCAGTTCCCAGTATATTAAAGCAAGATACTAGTAGTAACTATTCCATAGGGATATAATGAGGGTTAAAGGTGAGACTATTTACAAAGCACCTGGCCCAGTGCTGGCACCAAGCAATGCTCAATAAATGATAATGATGATGGTGATATAGAAAAGATGAAGAGCAGTTAATTCTAAGGAACTGGGTTTATGAATGTCAATGTCACTTGGAGTGTGGATGAGGGAATGAATCACACAACTGATCTGATACCAAGGGTCAGGACTCTGGGCAAGTCACTAACCCCCTCTGTGCCTCATTTTCATCTTCTGCAGAAGAGTATAATAATTCTATCTACATCATGGGATCTGGAGAAGGATTTACTTATTCGGCACATATTTATTAAGTAACTATTACGTACGAGGAGCTGCCCTATGCACTTGGGATACGTCTGTGAACAACACAAAGATGCCTGCTTTAGAAACCACATGTAGACCTCTCAGAGCAGTTCCTGGTACAGCCCTCAGGGAAAGAAAATTAAGAGAGTGTCAGATATGGAAGAAGATCAGCCACAGCCTAATACAGCTTCACAGACTCAGTTTTACCATCTTCCCAGTTTTGTGATGCTGGACAAGTTCTTAATCTCTTTGGGTCTCAGTCTTTCCCACTCGTGCAGAGGGCGTAATCATTCCCTTCATGAGGGTTGTGCAGCCCCAGAGGTAAACTGCCTGGTCCACATTAAGCCATCTGTGCCGTTGCTTCCTGTATTCGTTTCCTGGGGCTGCTGTGACAACGTGGAAATGCTTTCTCTCACGGTTCTGAAGGCTAGAGGTCCAAGGTATCGTCAGAATTAGTTCCTCCCAGAGGCTCTGAGGGAGGCTCTGTTCCTCGCCTCTGGTTCTAGCTGCCGAGCCAGAATTGGTGGTGAGCAACCCTTGGCGTCCGAGGCTTGTAGCTGCGCCATTCCTGTCTCTGCCTCTATCGTCACACGTTCTACTCTGTGTATCTGCACGTCCTTTCTTCTTCCTCTGAGGACACCGCTGGATTTAGAACTCACTCTAATCTGATATGACTTCATCTTACTTACATCAGCTAGGACCTTGTTCCCAAATAAGGTCTCATTCTGAGGTTCCAGGTAGATGTGAATCTGGGGGGACACTATTCAACTCACTGTAGGTTCTTTCTCACCCCTCTCCCCCATTGCAAGGCTTCTGAGCAAAGAGATTGGGGTGCAGCAGGCTTCGTGTCCTCCCCTGCTGCATCCATATCACCTCCAGAAAGATCACGCCGTTTCTCTGTAAATAGTTTGGGAATTATCACAGGAAATGGACTAGAAGCCTACAAACACTCGGGGATCATTTCGCTCATGATGGAGGCAGATTTGGAAGTTTCCTCATGTTTGTACACCACCAAGAAATGAGGCACCGCTCACCCTGGAAAATGAGCCTGTCCTTTCCAGACCAGTTGGTGATTTAACTCCAATGGCTGAGCAACTCATAACTCGAGGTATTAATGAGTCAATATGTTACCCTTCTTGGCTATTATATTTACATTTCAGCAGAGTCTTTCTGGAGGCAAGGTTTTAAATCAAGGGAGTGACTCTAATGGTGGAAATGTCAGGCCCTTTGGTGGGGGACGGTATTTGGAGAAAGGCAGAGGGAGCTTGGCCTTTCAGTTTAACTCTGCTAACATTTCTTAAGCAGCTCCCACACTCAGGGCCCTGATCCAAACACCCACGTGGAACCCACTTAAGAGTAAAACCCAATTTGTGTCTGTCAGGGATTCATGGTAAAGTCACTGCACACAAACAGTGGGAAAGCAAGGCAGACGGCAAGGTACATTATGAAAGAGATATGAAGGACATATGTGGGAGAGGCAGAGATTAATTTCGATGGCAATGAGGTGGGAGGTTATATTGAAAAACTTCAAGAAACAGGCAGATTTTAAAGTGTGAATCAACAAGTGGAGGTGGCGAGGGATGGCATTCCACATAGAGGACTCAGCATAAGCCAAAGTATGGCCGTGGAGGAAGGCAGAGAACCCCGGGGGACTGCGTGTTATCTGGGCCAGTGTTCAGATTGTGTCGTGAGGCCCTTGGGAAGTTAAGACCGGAGAACTAAGCCAAGCCTTGATGCTAGAGGGCGTGGCCTGTCAGGCTGAGGCCATGGGGTTTGATCCTGACTGCCGTGCCTGCTGCATGAAAGATGTCTAAGTGCATCTGTCTGGCTGGCATCATGCTGCTACCCTGACTTTGGACATCATATAAGTTGCTTAACTTCTTAGAGACGCAGTCTCCTGGCCTCTCAAATGTAGATGGTACCAGTCCTGTTACACAGCCTCCTCGAGAAGATTCGACGCATGCAACTGCTTGGGACAGTGCTGCTGCACACTAAGCAGTTAATAAATGCTCATTATTAACTTTAAAGATTTTTGGCAAGGGAAGCGATAATACTGGGCGTTTGTTTGCTTTCTCAGGATGCCAGCTCATGGCTAACCAGACAAGCTGTCTGGCTGAGTGAAGAAAACTTAGTGGAGCATGGGACAGCTACATTTTGGCATAAGGAGGGGCCGGTCTAGAATTTGGGACAGGCCGAGGGGAAGGATGGGGACAAGTCTGCAGCTGGGGGTTGACAGTCCTGGGAACTGGCAGCCTGAAGAAAAGCTGAAGTTCGTCAGCAGCTTCCGTTGTCCCAGGGGAAGCAGCTTCTCTTCTCAAGAGACTAGAAAGGAGCTCAGAGTCCAGAGTATCTCTTGGGAGCTGCTGAACTAAAGGAGGCAAGGACAAAGGGGACAGCATGGACAAAGGCCTGGAGGTGGGACAGGATTCATGGACTAGCCACACGGGCCCGGGGCGGGTGTACTTGTCTTGCAGTGTCCTGGTACTGGCTCTAACAGCACCCAGAAGGTGAGCTTGGCACCCGATGTCCTGCATTTGTCTCATTTATTCCAGAACCTGCATGCTTTCCCTTTCCCCTGCTTGTGCATATTCTATTGTCCTTCCTGGCCTGTTGAAGGCTCATGCCCTCCTGGGAACGCTTTCCAACAACTCCAGCCTATGCGAACCTCTCCCTTCGCTGAACCCAGTAGTATTTGACAGACTCATGCTGTTTAAACTGCCAAATCAGGATAGCTTCTCAGAGGTTTCTTGTGTAGAGTAAATGAAACAACTCTTATAATGTGCTCAGCAGAGTATCTGGTGCCTAAACAGTGCACAGGATATGTTGGCAGTTCTGCTGCTGCTGTTCCTTCCCCTGCACGTGGATATTAAGATCATTGCTTGAGGACATATGGTGGCTGGCATCCTTGGGAAGAACACACTCCTGGAGATACAGGTCCGTGGGTGTTAACTGTTATGCCAACCCTTTCTCTTCTACTTGAAAACATTCTGGAGAACTGAGTGAATGAATGTGACATTATTATTGCAATAACCTTGAATCCACTCTAATTCATGTTTACTTTTTAAGTAATCTGCCAACGCTGGTACTTTAGCTTCATGAGTCACAAATTCCTTGTGGCATACTTCATAATATAGGGTGACTCACCAGGGCACTGTGGTCCTGAAAGTGAGCTTATGCTCTAAGTTTTAGCTTGTATTAAGTCTGCCTTCCTGGCTAGACTGTAAACTTTATGAGGGCAGGAACTCTGGCTTCTTCCCTACCCTCCACGGTACCCAGCACAGTGGTTGGCATGTAGCTCTGTTGTAAACTAGTTGTGTTCTGATGTCAGGCTGAACTGCTTCAGGCTCATATTTCATTGACAATGCTTATACAAAAGTATAGGTTGTTTAAATGCTGAAACTTTCAGAGATATACCTCTAGTTCTGCCCAATTCCTATGAAAACCTCTACGAAGCGAGAAAACCTGTATATTCGTCAGGATTTCTTGGGAATGCAAGTGATAGAAACCTAATTCAAAATTTCATAACCCCAAAAAAGGGAAAAATTGGTTTGTATAACTGAAAAGTCCAAAGATGTAGTGAAGTTCAGGAAAGGCTGAATCTAGGAGCTCAAAATTTACCAGAAGAATATGTCTCTCTCAGTCCTTCGACTCTGTTTTTCCTCTAAAATGTCTTTATTTTTAAGCATGTTCTACACAGCTGGTGGCAAAAACAGCCACTAACATTTTCAGTTTATATTCCATTAGCTTGATAATAGTAGGCAAAGTCCCATCACTTTTTTATTTTTCATTTTTTTGGCAGAATCTGGACATGACACTCATGGACTCAGAATGTATCACGTGGCTATATCTAAACCAATTCCTGAGACTTGGTTTGACTAGGTATTGGCTACTAGGTGCAGTTTGACTAGGTATTGGCTACGAGGCGCGGAGCTTGGACAGACGCTATGCAAAACAGCCAGTTTGGGTGTTCAGAAAGGATGATTTCCTAAAAGATAATCTTGATGCAGTTCCTAGAGATAGAAGAAATGGATGCTAGACAGGCAAATAGTTTTGACATTTGGCAGACCAGAGGGATAGTAATTTTGTGTAGAAGCAACAACAGCTTCCATGTCAACTGCTATTACCACAGTGAGAAAGACACTGATCCATTGCATCATCTGTGGATGGAGGGAGGCCTTTTACAGTGAACTCCAGACCCTGACTTTGGTTCCAGAATGGTACAGTTACAGTTTTGAGGCCCTCACAGGTAGAGCCTATCCCCGTCAGACTGAAGAACGAGTGATGGCATCTGCTGAGCTATATGGAGAAGGGCTTTGCATGTAAGTGAGCACAACTTATGTAACCAGCATAGGGGCCACCTGGGAACAGCTGCTGGTCAGTTAGCAAGAAGGTGAATGCCCTTTGTCCTGGTCTGATTGCTCTGCCTCAGGAATTTCCTTCTCCCGTGGCTCCAGAGGAGACAGTAATCCACCCCATCCCTTCTCCATGCTCGATCTTCTCTTGTCTGTTGTTTTCTGTTCCCCATAAACAAGAGTTGACCCTGGCCAAGATTGTAGCTGCTTTCCATCATGGAGAAATGTACTGGTTTGGTAAGGAGCATCTTCATCAAGATAAAGGTCTTCTTGGTCAGTGTGCTCTTAAAGAGAAAGAAAATAAAACTGAAAGACAAGTCTTACTTATTGTGATAAACACCATTCCCTTGTTGTTTTCCTGCTAGAGAACTATACTGAGTAATCTTAATTGATATTGTGGTTCTTTTACAATACATTAATAGCGAGAGTGATGGGCAGAACAAAAACCATAAAATTTTTGAATAACAATAGTAAGACATGACCTTAGTAGTCATTCCCACCCTGTGGGCTTTGTGAGTTCATCAGCTGAATCTGTTTTGTTCGCTGCTACATTTTCAGTGCCTGGCATAGTGCCCAGCACTCTGGGTGTGTCACCGTTCTCTATTACGGCATTCATGGCAGACATTACTAATCATCCACTTTATTCTTCCCTCTGGATTGAGAGTGTGGCCTCAGAATCATTCTCAACGCAAAATTCCAGGGCCAGCCAATCAATATTGACACATGAGTCAAAATCGATTTGCCTTTTCTGACTAGTGGCTTGTCAAAAGTTTGCAGAATCTTAAGGAAAGATTTCTTTCAATCATGTAGTTTCCATTTAGGAGACAGCAGAGACTTAAGCAGTTATCTATCAACTAGAATAGCGGCTTCTTTAGGCTTTGAAGTTGCTATAGAACTCCAGTCTACATTCTTTTTGTCATTCCTCAGAAGAAATTTAAAAATCAGGTATTACACACCACAAATTAACTTCTGGGGACGACATACTCTTACCGGTTTTAACTCCTCAGTAATCTGCAAGCTGATAATTACCGTGTAGAAGCCAGTCCACCTCAGTGAAAGGTTAGAGGTTTAGGTGCTTAAAGAAGATCCCCAGGAGTTCTTCTTCCTTTGGTGCCCGCCATTTAACATTTCAAGTGGTGGAGAAATGGCACTCGGAATGAACAGCTCACTCTGGCAGCACACCCCTTTCCTTTTAGATTTTAGCATAAGTAACATTAGGAAGTAGTCAATTATGGTCAATGTGGGCTCCTGCAAATAACTGTAGAAATTAAATTGGCTTTGTATATAAGAGGAACATGCCCTTGCAAGACATCTATTCAAATAAACCCACTGTGCAAGGCTATGGATGCAGCCAGAAAAGATCATTTAACAGGCTAGTCAAATTACTGTGGTAGTGGGAGTAAGAAAGGGTCTGGACCACTTGGATAATTGGAGCTGCAGATGATCAAAAACTCTTTTGTTGAATTATAGGCTCCCAGATTGGCCTCAGTCCCAGTGAAAGAGTATGATAACCACATTTACTAGCAATAAGATCATACTTTGAATACTTGACAGTTAAATTCAAGAAAGGAGTAAGGAAATAGTCATTTCAATCCAGGTTTACTTGAAGGTTATTATGCAAATTCAAGGAACATATGAATAGAGTCTTCTAGTCCAGAGTCTCCATAAGCATCACTGGGCTCTGAGGGGCAATCAGCCATCCTCTGCTACCTGCTATGAAGAGACAAAAGCACCTGATGTCAGCCTTTGTTCTAGGGTGTTATTGGAATGACCTAGTAATTAAACATCAGTCAGTAGCAAGGTTCTGACTAAAATCAGCAATTGGGGGTTGAGGCCACTCTTACTATCAGACAGAATTCACCTTTATGTCTGCATTGACAATTGAAGCAATTGTGTTTATGCTAGGAAGTGGCAATTTAGGAGATAGATCCCAGCACTTTCAGAGAGAGGCAATTAACCTGAACTACGCCTCTTGAACACAAGTGGTCCTCCCCTGCTTATGGGGACCAGGGATGGGTATGCAGAAATTGTGTAACTTGTCTTTGATGTCAGACCGGAGAGCATATTCTAGTCCTACTACTTAATAGCTGTCTGGCATTGAATAGTTAATTAAATCAATTAACCCTCAGTGTTGTCTCTTTAAAAATGGGGAAACAGTATCACCTATTTCCACTTCACTAAAATAGAGATGATAGTAAGCATTGTTGTGAACATTAAATACAAAACAAAAATATTTAAAGTTCTTAACACTATTTGGAACATTTACCAATATAGATCATGTTCTGGTACATAAAACAAGTCTTAATATACTTAAAAGCAGTCGTCATGCAAAACATATTTTCTAACCAGAATAGGATTAAATTAGAGATTAATCACAGAAAGATATCTACAAAATCCCCAAATATTTGGAAACTATTTACTTCCCCCCAAAACCCTTGAGTTAAAGAAGAAATCAAAAGGGAAATAAGTAAGTATTTTAAACAATGAAAATGAAAACACAGCATATCAGGATTTATGGGATTCAGAGTTTAAGGGGGAAATTTATAGCACTAAAATGCCTATGCTAAAAGAGAAGAAAGGTCTCAAATCAAGGACCTTAGCTCTCATCTTAAAAAACTGGAAAAAAAAATTAAGTTAAAACCAAGGTAAGAATAAGAAAGAAAATGATAAACAAAAACCAACAAATATGTCAATGTGAAAGACAATAGAAAAACAATGGAGAAAATCGCTGAAATCAAAAGCTGGTTCTTTGAGATCAACATTATTCATAAACCTCCAGCAAACTGAGAAGTAAAAAAGAGAGAAGATATAAATTACCAAAGATCCATAATGAGAAAAGTAACAACACTACAGATTATAGATGTTAAAACAAAAATAAGAGGATATTATAAATGACTCTATCAAATAAATAACAAATGCTATAAACTTGACAACTAAAACAAAATGGGCAAATTCCTGAAAGGCAAAATCTACTAAGCTGAATTTGCAGTAAAAAATTTTCTCACAAAAAAGAAAAAAATAAACTCAAGGACTAGAAAGCTTCCTTGGGATATTCTATCACTTAAAAAAGAAATAATATGTAAACTCTTTGTGAAAATTGAAGAGGAAGGAATACTTATCAACTCATTCTATGAGCTCACCATTACAAAAGACAACATTATAAGTAAGAAAATTACAGACCAATATACCTCATGTATATAGAGGAAAAAAACTCAGCTAAAAAGTAAATCAAATCTAAAACCATACAAAAGGGACAACATATTACGACTAAGTAAATGGCATTGTTCTGGAGTTTATCCCAGAAATGCAAAGTCGAAGGAACATGTGACAAATCAGTGTGATTCACCATATTAGCAGTCTAAGAAAGAAAAATATATAATCATCAAAACGATGTAGAAAAAGTATTTAACAAAATATAATATTCATTTCTAAAAGAAAATATATCTCAGCAAACTAGGAATAGAGGGAACTTCCTTAACTTGATAAAAAGTATCTACAAAAAAAATAACCTACATCATACTTAATGATAAAATAAAATGAAAGACTGCTTTCCCCCTAAGATCAGAAAGAAAAAAAAAGATATCTGTTCTCATCATTTCTGTTCAAATTTGTACTGATGTTCTAACTAATGCAATAAGGCAAGAAAAAAGAAAGAAATACTATAGAAATTAAATAGGAAGAAGTAAATCTGTCTTTAGTCACAGATGTATGATTACATATATAGAAAATCTTATGGAACCTACGAAAAAACTACTAGAACAGGAAAATAAGTTTATCAAGGTTTCAAGATACAAAACCAATATAAAAGACTATATTTATATATAATAACAACAAATAAGCGAAAACTAAAAATTTAAAAATAATGCCATTTATAATAGCATCAAAAATATAAATAGAGGTTATACCCAACAAATATATATAAGACCTATGGAATGAAAACTACAAAACCCTGCAAAATAAAGAATAATTTTTATTTAGAATAATCTAAATAAATGGAAATATTGACAATGTTTATAGATCAAAAGACTCAATATTATTAAGATGTCAATTTTTCCCAAAATTAGTCTATTGTTTTAGTACAATCCCAATCTAAATCTTAGGAGCATTTACTGTAGAAATTGACAAGCCAATTCTAAAATTGATACAGAAATGCATTACACGAGGGTAGCAAAAACAACTTTGAAAGGAATAAAAAGGCTGGAAGGTTAGCAGTACCTGGCTTCAAGACTTCTTATCAAGATGCAGTATTCATCAGTGTGATGTTACTGTCAAGATAGATAAACAGATAAATAGGTCAGAAGAGAGAGGCCAGAAATAAACTCCCAGATAGAGAGTTCAGAAATAGATCAACAAATATGTGGACAACTGAATTTTGATAAGAATACAAAGGCAATTCACTGGACAAAGGATAGTCTTTTCAACAAATTGTACTATAACAGTTGGATATCTATATTGGGGTGGGGGGGCAGAACTTTAATTCATACCTTGCAGCATATACAAAAATTAACTCAGAATGGATCATCTACCTAAATGTAAAACCTAAAACTATAAAAGTCCTAGAAGATAATATAGGAGAAAATATTTATAACCCTGATTTAGGAAAAGGTTTCTTAAATATAACACCAAAAGCACAAATTCATGAAAGAAAAAATTGATATATTGTACTACATTAAATTCAAAACTTCTGATCTTTGAGTTACATTGTTAAAAGAATGAAAAGACAACCACAAAATGAGGGGAAATATTTGTAAATCATATATCTGACAAGGGGATTGTATTTGGAATATATAAAGAATTCTAAAACCCAATAAATAAGAAATGAACAACCCAATTTAAAAAAATGAATAAAAAATTTGAACTTACATTTCAGCAAAGAAGATATATGGATGGCAGATAAGCAAATTATAAAGAGACTCAACATCATTATAATTAAGTAAATTCAAACAAAACAATAAGACACCACTACACACCTGTTAGAATAGCTAAAGTTAAAAAGACTAACCATACTAAGTCTTGCCAAGGAAACAGAAGTACTGATGCTCTTGTAGACTGCTGACGAAGATGTAAAATGGACAACCACTTTGGAAAACAGTTCGGCAATTTCTTAGCAAGTTAAACATATACTACCATATGACACTCAGCCACTCTTCCCAGAGATTGCATTCCTAGGTATTTATGAGAAAGAGAAATGAAAGCATGTGTCCCTACAAAGACTTGTATATAAATATTTACAGTTTTATTAGTAATAGCCAAAAACTGGAAATGTCCATCAATAGGGAAAAAGACAAACAAAAGTGTGGCTTGCACTGAAATGCTAGGCAACCACAAAAGCAATGAACTACTGATATGCACAACATGGATGAACCTCAAAATCATTACACGGACTGAAAGAAACTAGACAAAAAAGGGTTACTTATTGTATGATTTCACTTATATAAAACTCTAGAAAATGGAAGCCAATCTGTAGTGACAATGGCAAATCAGTGAGCACCTGGGAAAGGAGGGATTGAGAGGAGCACAAATGGATTTTTTTGAGGGGATGGATAGGTTCACAGTCTTGGTTGTGTAATAGTTTCGCAGGTGTATACTTACGTCAAAACTTATCATATCGTACACTTTAAACATGTGCATGTCTATACCTCAGTAAAGCTACTTTTAAAGAAGTGTTTAGGCTGGCACATGACCACACTTGGCCACACGTAACAGGGACCTGAGATGTGAGGTCCAGATCACACTGGTAGAAATATGACCCAAAGAGGAAGTTCCCCTCCTACAGCCACTACAAGCCTGGCCCGCTACTGCTGCTCCCCCTGGCTGTGGCAGTTGGAGAATTCTGGCAGGCAGATTTTTTTTTTTTTTTTTAAAAGGGTGTTTAGCACATGGTTACTGCTTTCTTTTGATTCCAGTTATCCCTTGACTGGCTTGCTTGCATGTATTTATTTATTTGTTTGTTTATTTATTTATTTAGTCCTTTCCTGATGAATCTGCAAAGTAGGTATAGCTTTGATCTCACAGACCAAACAGATTTCATCTCACAGGTCAAGTGATCTACTGGCAGCGGCTGCCTGGAGCTCTGCACTGAGACGTGTGGTAGGGAGAATAATGACCCCCAAAGATGTCCACACCCTGATCCCCAGAACACGTGCATATGTTGCCTTGCATGGCAAAATGGACTTTGCAGATTGATTAAAGTTACGGATCTTGGGATGGGAAGATAACCCTGGATTATCTGGTGGGCCCACTCTCGTCGCATGAGTCTGTAAAAGTGGAGAACAATTCCTGGCTGTGATCAGAGTAGGATGGCAGCCTGGGAAGGATTTGGCGTCTTGTTGCTGGGACCGAGATGTAAGGGGCTCTGTGTCCATGAACCAGACATTGGCCTCTAGAAGCTGGAAAAGACAAGGAAATGGATTCCCTCCTTGAATTTCCAAAAAGAAAAGCAACCCTGCCAAAACTTTGATGTTAGCCCATTGAGACCTATTTTGGACTTCAAACCTACAGACTGTAAAATAATAAAGTTGCATTGTTTTAATCTATTAAATTTGTGGTAATTTGCTACTGCAGCAATAGTAGACTAATCCAAGCAGGAAAGAATATTGTGATCAATTAATAATAGCTACCATGGATACCGTATTGGAAAAAGGTTGTGTGCCACATATCTGCCACTTTGGTTCTTGTTTTCAAGGTGTACTGGCATGGGATTTGGGGATGCACCTTCATTTATGGCGCCTACTGTGTGCCAAGCTCTCTGCCAGGCTTTTTATATATGTTCCCTCAGTCATCTTCACATCAGTCCTATCAGGAGGTAAATGCAGTCAGCTCTCTGTATCCACAGGTTCCACATCCATGGATTCAACCAACTGCAGGTGGAAAATTTTAGACAAAAAAAATCCCAGAAAGTTCCCCCAAGCAAAAAACTTAAATTTTCCATGCATTGAGCATGACATGGAATTCATGCAAATGAAGTAACCTGTAGGCATTCCCCGCTGTAGCCTATAATCAAATATAGGTTATATGCAAATACTATGCCATTTTATATCAGGGGCTTGAGCACTTGAGGATTTTAATATCTGAAGAGGGTCCTGGAACCAATCCTCCATGGATACCGAGGGGCGACTGCATTACTTCCCTTTTAGATAGATGGGGACCTTGTCTACGATCTTAACTGTAAATATTTTTGTTTTTGTTTTTGTTTTCATTCCTCTTAGCTTCCAAACAAAACACAGAGTCCCAAGAAAACCTAGGTAAACTAGATTTCAAGTGTTGATGGAAAACAAGAACAAACACAGATGAAGAGCCTTTGTCGTGGAACAATCCTTCTGGCCCTGGAGGTGGTGCACATAACATTATTAGCACAGCTGGAGCTCCTAGAAGTGTCCTGAGAGTGGGTAAGGAACAATACATTTCTAATATTTGGTAATTATGACAAAAACTATTTGCTCCTTGTTTACGCTTAAACTTCAGCTCAGAGAAACACTACTTATTTCCTCTCTCAGCATGATGTGTGTCACGCATCCAGCCAGCTGCCTCGCTGGACTCCTAGACCCCTCTGAGATTAGGGACTTGTTTATGCCTCCCCTGAAGGAGCCACATGACCATGCATCCTTCCCGCCCATACTCCCTCTTCCAAGAATGCCTCAGGCAGCCCTCCCGTGGACAGCATGGCTGGATTCTCTCTCTGATAGTGAAATTGCATCATCATATGTTGGGGGCAAGGGAGGAAGTGAGACCCTAGATATCCTTCAGAACAGCTGTGGAACCAGGCCAGGTCACTGTCATTTGCCATTTCACTATCTTTCTTTTGAAGGAAGTTAATGAGTCGGGAAGGCAGAAGGGGAAGATTGAGAGCATAGCTTCAACGCTGAACAATTCCGCAGCTTAACCTCTCTGAACCTTCATTTTTTTCACCCATAATGTGAGAGTAGAAACAGGGACATAGCAATGATTACAATTGATTGAGAATATACTATGAGTTAGACACTGTTTTAGGGGCTTTTCATGCAAACCTCACTTATTCCAACAGCCTTATGAGAGATATACTACTAATATCCCATTCTACAGAGGAGAATACAGAGGCTCAAAGAGAATTAGGTACTTGCCCAAAGTCACACAGCATGTAAAGAAAACTAAGCAAGCCACTTGACTCTAGACTTGGAGCACAAAACCTTTCATGAACAAGCATGGCACCTTGCACAGGTACGTGTTCAACAGATGTGAGCAAGAATTATGTTGGCTTTCGTATTAGCGTTCAGTATGAGCTGGGACCTGAGGTCCCCTTGTTCCAGCTTTCTTTCTATTATCTGTTTATAGTAAAATAAAAGACAGTTATAGAAAATCACACAAATCCCAGAAACCCACCCATGGATTCCATCCAGTCAACCCTCCCACCAAAAGTGATCATGATCTTCACTTTTGAGGGAATAACTGTCAGTCAGTTCAGGCTGCTATAACAAAGTACCATAGACCGGATGGCTTATAAACAAGAGAAATTTATTTTTTTATGGTTCTGGAGGCTAGAAGTCTGAGATTAGGGTGCCAGCATGGCTTGGTTCTAGAAATGGCCCTATTTCAGGTGGCAAACTGCCAATTTCTCCTTGTGTCCTCTCCTGGTGGAAAAAGAACAAGAGAGCTCTCTGGGGTCCCTTTCAAAAGGGCACTAATCTCATTCAGGAAGGGTCCTCAGGTCCCTGCACCCTCTCTCTGGACCTCTTACACTCTGCCAGCAGTGACTTGGGCAAAATGCCTCCTGGGTTCAGCTGCCACTCTCAGACTGGGTCATGTGTCTTCCAGAAGTACCTGCTGCCTGCGTTGGGTTCTCCTGTGCTCAGGTCTATCAGATACCCCGTTGCTTGCTTTCTTCCTCTCATGCAGGTATTAATACCTTTGGGGCAGCTGCTGCTTTGTCCCCGTCGTTTATAATGTGAGACTCATGAGGATCCCGTATGATTTTGTTTTTCATTTTGTTATGTATTCGCTTTGTTTGTTTTTATATGGAGATTGAGGTACATTCAAAAATGATTCAGTCGCCACTCTCATCTTCCAAAATTCTCTAGAATTCTCGTGTCCTCCTCTGATCACAGGATCCTGTCCAAACCTGGCTTCTCCCTCACGCATGGAAGACTACCGGCTGTGCCCACAGACCTGCCCTTCTGTCTCTGGGGTGGAAATAATCACTGTGCTCTGGCAAGACAGGTCTATATTTTCTCACAGCAGAGTTTACCTCAACCTAGGAGATCATGTGAAAACACTGAGCCATGGAGGAAGCTGAGAAGAGATCAAAGAATCCCGCAGGAGGAGGGAGCAGGACCGCACATTTAAAATCCCTTCCATCTCTAGCGTCTTGCGATCCGACAGTTCAGGAAGAACTCCCCGCACACTCCCAGCTTTTAATTAATCTTATCTTGAGATAGCAGTCAGCGTCCCTGGAAGTTAGACCTCCCTGCCTTTGAATTTGAGCTTTTCAGAGGTCACCAGAACAAGATCAAAATCCTCTACTTGCATGTTCATCATCATAGGCATACGAATGCTTTTATAAAAGAAGTTTCGTTTTTACTTGACTGCATTAGACACTGCCCAAAGTAACAAGCTTTGCTCCTGCTTTCCGTGAAGTCACGGTCTGAGTTAAAAGCACACATTGCCATGACTTTTTATTTATTTCATCACATATTCTTAAGGAACCCCCAGAACAATATTTGCCTCATGCAGAAAATTTCTCATTTGGGAGGAATGTCTGCCTTAATGGAGAAACACTTTCGTATCTTTCTTTCTTTCTTTTTTTTTTAAAGAAGAGCTAGTACAGCAAAGCGGTTTTGTCACTGTTCTTATGAACACCACTTCCACCTCTAGATTGTAAAAATGAAGTCAAGCCTTTTTAGAACACCGACTGGTGTTGCAGGAGGAGGGAAGGAGAAGGTCTTAGCCTTTCTCTCCTCACCCCCTCCAATGCACCTTACCCCAGGAGAGAAGAGTTATCTGATGAATCCCATTTGAGGAATAACTGGGTTCCAGTAACAGTGGGCAAGTCCATTGTGTGTGTACTGGGAAAGCTCTCATCTTGAGCCTGTGCTTAATGTTCTAGTTCACTTTGTCAAAGAGTCTGCATAGAGTGTCAGGCCCAGGACCAGCTACTAATCAAATGGTAATGAGTTTCCCATTTAATGCGGACCTTGTAGGTAGGAGGGGTGGCCTTTCTGAGTCCCAGGACTGATGCTAACAGCATGCCTAACCACACAGTTACTTCCAATGACTCAGTTACTTTGCTGTCAGGTCAGTGGGCAAAGAAAGTAACTGCACACCTGACTCGAGGTGTGTCATATCTTCTCCCTGCACGTGCCTTTTCCTCACTGACTGTGTACTTCATATAACCGTCAAATTGTTGCCTGAATGTTTTTTTTAAGCACAAGTAGAATCGTGCCCACTTTCTGCTTTTAAAAAGCAAACCATAAACAAACTTTAATGGTCTCATTGCTTAAGAGGTCAATTCTCATATTATTAGCATTCAGTCATTCCCTTCACTCAGGCCTCAGCTTCATTCCCTGCCCGCCCCCTCTCCCCCGCCCACCACACCTATACACTGAGCTGTAGTCATTCGGAGCTGCTTGCATGCCTTACTCAAGTGGTGCCCTCTGCCATGAATCATCCTTTCTGCTTCCGGATAATCCTTCCAAACATAAGTCACAAGTTCCTGTCTCCATGAAATCGTCCCCTGGGTCCTTGTCTCCAGTGCCATCCCCAGGGGATGAGGCATGGGCTAGATTTATTTCTCTCCTCTCCTGGGAGCTTTCTCCATTTATTAGAGATTCACTCCCATCGATCCCCCCACCAGATTAGTGCCTCCTTTAGGCTGGCGATGATGGGCTATGTTTTGGGTTCCCCAGGGCCTATCACAATGCCTATGGTATTATAAATGCTCCATAAACATTTGCTAAGTGGATAATTCTGAGTGAAGTTGGTGTGACCAACTTTTAGAATTAGTCCACAAATATTTATTTGACTGCCAACTGTATGCAAAGTATCATGCTTTCACTATAAAAAGCTATCCTGAAAACATAAGCTATTAAATGGTTATTCATAATTAGTGTCTGATTATCTATACTAAGGGAGGAGAAGAGCATAATACTTGGCCTTTGAGTCTCAGCTCTGTCGCTTCCTTGCTCTGTGGCTTTTAAGTCTAAATCTCAATTTCCTCAGCTGTAAGATGGGGAGAAAAATCATCATAGCTGCCTTCCCTGCCCTTAGTGGTGGTATGTTGATCAAATGGTGTGATGTATATTGAAGCCCTTTGAATTAACTCTCCTCACCTAGTAAGACCTTGGGCATTGGACATGGAGAGTTTTGGTGAAGAAAAAGCAGTAAGCAAGGAGGACAGGCAGACCTGGGCAGCATAAGGACACAGGGCAGCAGGTGACAGGAGAAGGGCCGCCGAGCAGGAGGAGCAGAGAGGCCAGAGTGTGTCAACGGGGGAGGTGTGGAGAGATCAGGTTGGGGAAAGAAAGAGGAGGGCAGATTCCAGTCCTCTCTTGGGAGGGCAAGGAGAAGGTAGCACCTGCCTCCAGCTGCGGAGGGGATGGAGTTTAATCAGACAGAAAAAGCTTAGAACAGCTCTGGGCTTTCTCTCTGGTTTCCCAAACCCAATTACTATTGGACATTTCTGAACAATCTCACAGGTTATGAGGTTGTTCCATCCCCAGAGAGCCAGTCCTTTCACCCCATATTTAATTGGAATTCAAGGAGCATCACGATTCAGGGTTTGAGGACGAAACCACACTGGTTAGCCACTTGCTCTTGCTGCTAGAAAGCCCCTCCTAGGGGAGAAAGAAATGTATCACCCTAAGTCGGGACATGAGAGCTGATGAAATGAGAATTGGAGGCAGCGGTCAGTGGTTACGCCCCCCAACCCCGTCCGGTGCACTGAGTGCAGAGCTGCTCTGCCTTCAATGAGAACAACAAAGTGGGGCTTGTCAATAAATTAATGTTTCTTAGTGACGTTGTTAGTTTCACTCTGGTGCTGAAAGACGAATGTCAGAGACCTAGAATATTCTCATAGATCCCTTCCTCTTCTGCCCTATCAATAGTCCTGGGAACCCGTAGGGTCTAAAGGACATTTCTAGAGTCCTAAAAAATAGTCTTCAAATTTCATATTTAAATACATATAAATAACTTAAAAATATGTAGTAAACATACCCTCAAATGTGCTATATACTGTACTTTATCCCTTTGAGTCTATCACATGTATTAAGTTGGGTTGTTGGGTCAGACTTTTGCGTATGAATGTATAGATTTGGAATAAAGCTTCTCCCATTTTTTAAGAAGGAATTTTCTGACATCACAAGATGAACTGCTTTTAAAACTATAATTACTTGCAACTACATGTCTGTTTGAATCAGATTTCCTTAATACTGAATATATTAGTCAGAAATGTTTTTGGTTGCAAGAGACAGAAATCCAAGTCAAACTGGCCTGAAAGACAAAAGGGTAGTACTGGTTTGGATAACAGAAAAGTCCAGGCGTCGGGCTGGGAAATGGGGAATAGGGACTGGGTAGCAAGACAATAGAAGTCTTGTCTCCTGCACAGGCTAAACAAACTGCAGAGACACACTGGACCCCAGGACTGCACTGTCCCCCTACAGTGTCAGTCCCTGATTTCCAGCCCCTGAGTTCCCCAAAATGGCCTCATGGTCCTTATATATTGATTTGATAATAAGTAAATGTTATACATTTGAACCAAAGATAAATTTTGCTAATAAAATAGCTCTTTTATCAATTTATATAGTTGGAAGATTCTACATAAAATTTGTCCCCAAAGGGTGAGTTTTGTGCTTTCAAAAAGGTTGAAAACTCATCACTGTGCATATTTTCACATCTCAGGTGATTTTGGTCTCTACAGAAGCTTCTTGGCCACCGAGTTCATAGCGATCCCTGCCCTTTTTGTGTGTGTTTCATTTGATTGGCTCTTGGTCTAGGAGGCCATGGAACAAAGGGGAGGTTTGCCATCAGAAGTTCAAGTGCAGGCTTACTCCTTACTGTCTATGTGACTTTCCTTATCATGAGATGAGGATGGTGATGCCTGATCTCTTTTCAGAGGAGGGGGATTAAGCCAGAAGATTTAGGGGGAAAATTCTCCAGAATCAGTAAAATGCTATGTGAATAAAAATTATTATCTTTCAACTTTCGTTATTATATCTACATGTTTATTGTGTTTATATAAAATGTAATTATTCAAATTTGTATCTGTCTAGTCTCACTGCAGCAGATTAATTGCATTGAGGGCCTCATTTCTTTATCCCTCCCTATATCCATGACCTTTACCATGCAACTTTGTAGTACCCTCCCACCATGATTCCGGATTTGATCATGTGACTTGCTTTGGCCAATAGTGTGTCAGCAGATGTGACCCAAATAGAGGCTTGAAAAACACTTGCACAAATGGGCTTGATCGCTCTTGTTCCTCTGTTTTCACTAAGAGAGCATGAGCCTGCAGGAGGAGAGCCAGGTTGACCAGTTAGTCACCCCAGGTTAGGCCACTCTAGACCAAGAGTAAAACAACTTCTAGACATCTGAGGCTAAACCAGAAGAACTGCCCAGATTAGTCTAGACACCTGTCAATGCTCACTGTTTTAAGCCACTGAGTTTTCTAATGGTTTGTTCCACATCATCATTGTGGCAATAGATAAGTGTTATACTCCCTAACTAGGAGAGTAAAAATCTTGTCTTATATCTTAGCTATTATCATTCTGAAGCTCTCCAATTTCCCCAACCCTCTTAAGAGAAGGGAGAAAAATGTGGTTCAAGATTTTTTAAAGCCTTCTAACATTCAGGTGCTCTCTGAGGTAGTTTTCATGCAATATTTTGTTTAATCTCCACAATATCCTTGCGAGATAGATCAACATTTTCTCTTTCTACAGATGAAAAGGGGAGGTTCAGAGAAGTGAAGTACGTTACCTACGATCACACAGAAAGAGTGACGGAGCGGGAGTCTCCCCGAGGTAAGCCTGTTTCTCAGGACAGTTCTCAATCTTCAGTGCATTTGGCTGCCTCACGTCCATTGCTTTGAAAGTCAGAACCACCCGACCTGGCCTTTTTCCAGATACCATCTTGTTCTCCAGTGGTGTCGTATTTGTTTATCTTGAACCATAGACTTGTCTTTCTCACACCTTTTTTCTTCCCTCATCACACTGGAAGATGATCTATTTATTAGCATGCTGATTTGACACCTTAGAAATCACAAATTGTCAATTTCTTTGTATTTGTTTCTAAGAAACGTTCATTGTAAATAAATGAGGGGAGGGGAGTTGCTTTCCAAGTATCGAAAGAATCCAGCACTTTCTTAGCCCAAATTTGGCCCTCACTCTGGGTTTCTGGCCCCCATATTTGAATTGTTCTCCTCCCCACACCCAAAAGAGGTTATTTTTAAGTCGCAGTTTTATCCAAAAAGCATTTTTCACAGAATGCCTTGGAAGGTCCTGCACTTTCTCTTCAGCTCAAGAACTGTCCCTCTACCACACCCCCTCGGTCTGGGAATTTATTTTGGTCTCTGCAAAAGTCACATATTTTCTTTTGATGAAGTCATCAGAGTATTTCACTTCCAGGCCCTTGATCGTATGTCCTTAAGGAAGGTTGATCTCTCTGTGATCAGCTAGAGGCAGAGATGTGGGCGTTATTTGCTGTCACTTCAGAAGCAGAATTGCCACAGACTAAGGCCATGCCTCTCCATATCCCACTTATGGATCCACCTGGGGGCCCCCAATACAAATCCTTCTCTTTCTTCCAAGTCCAACCCTTTTCCCTCTTCTCCATGAAGAGTTCCCCGACTCGGGGTTTATGATACTATCCCTTTTTTTCTGAATGATTAGAGAGTCTGAAACACTTGACTATGAAGTTACTTAGCACATACATTCATGTGAGAGACTCTACCCTCAGAGAGCTTACAGCCTACTGAAAATAGTAAAGCCACAAACAAATAATTAAGATGCAATCGGGCAGTGATAATAATAATTTTTAAAATAGGATAATGGGACAGAATGAATAAGAGAGTAAGGAGAGCTACTTCACATAGTGTGATGGGGAAAAGATCTCTAAGAAGGTGACATTTCCATTAGAATAATCCA